GTTCAGTACATGGTGCAGGTAGGCAGGAAGGAGGGGGATAGATTGTGATGTGTGGAGCAAAGATGGGTATGGGAAAGATGAGAGAGAGGAGAGAGGAACAGGAGCCAAAAACATATACACAAACAAAAAAGAGTGCTAAGAGAGCTTACTGCTGGAGTGGAGAAATGAGAGACTGAGAAATGGGGAAAAACAAAAATTTTAAAAAAGGGTAAAAGAAAAAAATGAATAAATTGAGAAACTGGAAATGAAGAAAGACAAAAAGGGAATAAGAGAGAGAATAAAACAAAACAAAGAAACAAAAAACAAGAAAAAAGAAATGCCCCCAGGGATGTCTCTGTGAGTCTGCGCAGAGTAAGGGAGTAGCTTCCAAGCTGCGCAGTACTGCGCAGCTGGAATGGGTTCCCAAGCTGAGAAAAGAAGAAGAAAGCAAGCAAACAAATCAAAACAGAACAAATCAGAGCAAACAAACAAACAAAAGAGCCCCAGGGGTCCCACCAGCGTGGTGGCATGGGCCGGGAAGTAGTTTCACAGTCGAGCAGTATTTCACAGCCTTTAAGGAAGAAGCAAAATGGTGCACGGAGCCAGGTGTGTGAGAGAAAGGAGGGGGAAGTGTCGAGAGGTAAGGAAGAAATCTAAAGAAGTAGAAAAAAGCAACACCAGCAGCCAACAAAAGGCATTCAGGGAGCAGGCCAGTGTGGGTGGGTGGAATCCAAGCAACATCGGGGTGAAGCTGGTGCTTCCCAGCCAGGAGACTGTGGCTGCAGGAAGCAGAGGAGGCTAAGTGGGAGTTAAGAAGGCTGGGGGGTGGGAAAGCCTATGTTGCTGTCTCCTGCTGGAAGCTCCATGAAGCTGCTTTCTCATATCCCCTGTTCACTGATCTCCAATAAAAAGGGTAAAAGAAAAGATGGCGGATCCGTGCTGCTGTAGCTGATAGGGAACCTCTGCATGTATCTCTCCTCGCTTTCTGTTCTCGGTCAGTTTCTTGTTCCAATCAGTGCTTGGTTGAGTTCTTTATCTCTTCATTTGATGCGTAGGGTTTCAGAATTGGCGTGTGACTCTGTTTGACTTAGTTTTTCTGATCTTTGCTGTGGCGGGATGGCGTGGTGCTTCTGACTATAGCACCATGTTCCCCGGAAGTCCGCATCTTTTGATTTCTTGACTGCTGCTTCCACGGGTGCTGATTGTGGATCCAAGTAAAATAAAATCCTCGACAACTTCAATACTTTCTTCATTTATCACAATGTTGTTTATTGGTCCAGTTGTGAGGCTTTTTGTTTTCTTTATGTTGAAGTATGATCCAAACTGAAGGCTGTGTTCTTTGATCTTCATCAGTGAGTAATTCAAGTCCTCTTCACTTTCAGCAAGCAAGGTTGTGTCATCTGTATAACGCAGTTTGTTAATGAGTCTTCCTCCAATCCTGATGCCACATTCTTCTCATATAGTCCAGTTTCTCAGACTATTTGCTCAGCATACAGATTGAATAAGTATAGTGAAAGGATACAACCCTGACACATACCTTTCCTGATTTTAAACCACTTTTTCTGTTCGAATCACTGCCTCTTGGTCTATGTACAGATTTTGCATGAGCACATTTAAGTGTTCTGGAATTCCCATTCTTTGTAATGTTCTCCATAATTTGTTATGATCCACACTACCTTCGAATGCCTTTTTGTAGTTAGTAAAACACAGGTAAATATCTTTCCAGGATTGTCTACTTTCAGCAAAGATCCATCTGGCATTAGCAATGATATCCCTTGTTCCACGTTGTCTTCTGAAGCCAGCTTAAATTTCTAGCAGTTCCCGGTTGATGCACTGCTACAACTGTTTTTTAATTATCTTCAGCAAAATTTTACTTGCATGTGATATTAATGATATAGTTCGATAATATCTGCATTCTGTTGGATCACCTTTTTTTGGAATGGGTACAACTATGGATCTCTTCCAGTCGGTTAGCTAGGTAGCTGTCTTCCAAATTTCTTGGCATAGACTACTGAGCACTTCCAGTGTTGCATCCATTTGTTGAAACATCTTAATTGGTATTCCATCAATTCCTGGAGCCTTGTTTTTCACCAATGCCTTCAATGCAGTTCCATAAATGTGCCGTTATTGCTGGTGTCTGCTCTCCAGAGCTGCTGTGGAGGACCTGGGGACAGGGTGGACATGAGAGGGCCCAGAAAGGAAGAGGAGCTCTAGCCTGGCAGGAAGGACCTAGCAGGAAGGGTCTGGCTCCCAGCCTGACTCTGAGAGGATAGTCAGCAGCAGTGGGTGATCACACATGGCTTTTACGGAGATGTACTTGGCAGTGTCAGGAAAGACTCAGGGGCTCTGCCTTGGTCATTGCAGTAGCAGCTGGGCATCACCTGGGCCTGACTAGCAAGATGAAACCACACCATAGATGAGGGTGTTCAGGACCAGGGGAGCTGCCTTGGAGGCGGATTCCTCTGGCTCTGGAGGGGAGGATGGGATTGCAGGGAGTTTTAGTCGTGGAGGAGGCACAGGGGAGGGGAGCCCTTAGCTCTTCACCCCGTAGCGCCCCTTCCAATCGCTCACCTGCAGGGTGCGCCTGCTACTGAGTGCGCTGAAGAAGGGCAGCTCAGGAGGGCAGCGAACATCTCTCACGTCACGGCAGCACCGGGGCTGCCAGGAAAAATCTCTTCCCGCTCCTTGCCCACAAACCACTGGGCAGGGGTCCCAGACCCCAGTGGCTACTGATCCTGTCAGGGAACGAGGTTGGTACGGCCGGGTAAGGGTTGCTAGAAACTCACCTGGCCACGCAGAGCACAGCAGTTCCGGTTAGGTTACGAGGACACCAGGAAGCGCGGGAGGATATCGCGCACAGCGCCACCAGGTGGGCGCAGCGGAATGGTGTCAGCGGCAGCCCCCAGCGTCCAGAGCGAGGTCTCCCGCGGTTCTTGGAAGCGGGTTCATTCCACAGCGTTTCCAGTGCCACCTTTGCCGGACCTGGCAAGGCACTGGATGAACCAGTCAGTCCGGGCCAGGCCCTTTGGGGCTCCAGTGGGTGGGTGGGGGATGGGAGAGTACGGGCTGCTTCAAGGTCGCCTGGTGTGCTGACTGCGCTCCCACGGCTCCTCAGCCCTCGCCTCTGGCTCCTCTAACTGGTGTCCCACGTGCTGTGCCTCTCTCCAGCTCCCACGACGGGCTTTTGACGGTGACTGCAGGCTGCCTTGGCGTACGTGTGCTCGCCGGCCCAGTCCCTCCAGCGCCATCTGGCGATGTCCCCGCTGTCCCCTGCCCCTGCGGCCCTGCTTTCACCTCTCACAGCTTGGTAAACCCATGCGCTCTCAAGCTCACGATTGAGTTATCCCACCCGAAACAGCGGTTCTTGGCGTTCTCTCAGCCGGTAATGTCTAAACCTAGAGTTCTGAGTGAACCAGGAATCCCTTTCCTTCCCTTCCTTCACCCCTCAGAGGCAGCCCTCGGGTCTAGGGGTGGGAGGACCCGGAGTTTGTTGCACTCAACCAGGACATAGGCCCAGAGCCCCTGGGGACTTGTTAGGCCTGTTCCTGCTTCAGGGCCTTTGTTCTTGACATCTCCCCTGCCTGGAATGAATGTCCCTTCTTACTACTCAGAACCTAGTCCCAGGACATTTCCTCAGGTGAATGGGCCTCCCCTGACTGCCCGCCTAGCCCTTACAAATCACTCTCTATCACCCCTTTTCCTGTTCTGGTGACATTTGCCACCCTCTGGAATTGCGGCAGTTTGCTGCCTTGTGTCCCCAACGCCAGGACAGCAGAGAGTGCGCACTCTTTGATGAATGAATTCGTCTACAGTTCCGCTCCCCAGTGCCGGGACGACTCTCGAATTCTAATGCGATTTTGCGGTCCTCAGAGTCTTAATTTTTACGTGTGGCAAATTAGGAAAAAAGTCCCCTGGATGCGACGTGGGGTGCGCCTACCTCTGTCGCCAGAGATTCTCACTGGATCGGTGCCCCCAGTTCCCTCAGCCCCCAGTTTCCTGGCATCCCGAGTTCTCCGGCGCCCCCAGGTCCCCATCGCCCCGAGTACCCCGGCGTCCCAAGTCCCCCTGGCGGTCTCGCGGGCAGAATTTGCCCAGCAGCCTGGCGGCCCTTCCAGGGCTGGCTCTTGGTGACGTGGGGCGGGGCCGAGGCGGCCGGGGGGCGGGCCCGAGGCATAAGCCTGGCGCCTGCGGCGGCGGGGCCCCAGAGCGCAGCGGAGGCGGATCGGAGCGGGCGAGGCCGCTGAGTAGAGGTCCGGCCGGAGCCGATCCGCCTCCCCGGCGCGCCGAGCCCCGACGGCCGCACCATGGCCCTGGAACAGGCGCTGCAGGCAGCGCGGCAGGGTGAGCTGGACGTACTAAAGGCCCTGCATGCCGCCGGCCAGCTGGGACCCTCACTGCGCGACCCGCTGGACGCGCTGCCCGTGCACCACGCGGCCCGCGCGGGCAAGCTGCACTGCCTGCGCTTCCTGGTGGAGGAGGCCTCCCTGCCCGCCGCGGCCCGCGCGCGCAACGGCGCCACTCCGGCCCACGACGCCGCTGCCACCGGCCACCTTGCCTGCCTGCAGTGGCTGCTCTCGCAGGGCGACTGCCGAGTACAGGTGGGTCCGCGTCTCTCAAGGGCCCTCTCTGGCCTGGAACCCCCTGTGGCTCAAGGGTGAGGTTGGGTACCTCCCTGGCCCAGCGTGGAGTTCCTTCCAGAGGGCTTTGCATGGGGGTGGGCTTGAGGGGCTGAGAGCACTCAGGTAGAGGCCCTGGCAAGTCCTGGCCGCTCCCTGGATCGGAACTGGGAGATGATGAACCACAAGAGAATTGAGTTCCACTGGGCTAGTATTTGGATACACTTGTGGTGTAGTGGTTAAGAGCTCTGGCTGCTAACCAAAAGGTTGGCAGTTCAAATCCACCAGGCGCTCCTTGGAAACCCTATGGAGCAGTTCTACTCCTTCTGTAATAGGGTCGCTGTGAGTTGGAATAGACTCCATGGCAACGGGTTTGGATTGTTTTTTTTTTTTGGCTGGTATTTACAAAGCACCCAGGAGAGGTGAAGCACTGATTCCCGAAGTCCCGCGGGGGTTGGGGGTGCACAGAGCTCATGTCTTCCAGGATCGGGTCTGGAGGCGGGTGGGCAGAGTCACCCATTCCACCCCAGGCTGAGATGCAGGTGTCCGGAAGGCCAGGGACCTCCACCAGGCTCTAGGCTGACTCCTGACCTCAGTGCCTTCAGGTCTCCCAGCTCTGAGTTGCTTTTCCATCACCCCTGCCTGTCTTCCTGAACCCAGGCCCCACCTTTTCTCACTCAGTGTCCCCTAGGCTGGCATCAGCCTGACCCCTCCAGAGCTACAGGAGGAGGCAGCTCAGGCTTGACAGTGGCTCTCCTGCCCGGTACCTATTGGAAATAGAGCATCCAACAGGTACGATACAGCTCCTGCTCTTCTGGAGCTCCCAGTCCATGGGGGCCACAGCCAACAAACCCACAGACCGGAAGTAAACTAGATGGCATCAGGACTGCTGGGTCTTGTCCCAGAGAGTTACAGGTGCTGCTTAAGCTGGGTGGCTGGGGAAGGCCTCTCTGAGGGGTAACCTCCGAGGGGAGTCCTGACTGCTGAGAAGGAGGTGGCCAGGTGGCAGACAGAGAGTCCTGGGCATGAGAAACAATAAGTGCAAAGCCCTGAGGCGTGCAGATTCTTGCCCTGTTGGAGGGACAGCAAGGAGGCGGGCATGAATGGAGTGGAGAGAGGGTAGGCGAAGCTGCCCAGGCTGGGTCCTGCAGGGTCTAGTAAGCTAAGGTTAGGAATCTGGATGATACTCTGGCTGCAGAAGGAAGCCAATGGAGAGTGGGCCAGAACTGACTTTCTACTTAGAAAGACCACCAGGTTAAGGGGAGGTAGAAGGGGAGAAGTCCCTGAGTTGGGGCCAGTGGTTAACATGCTCGACTGCTAACCGAAATGTTGGCAGTACAAGTCCACCCAAGGGCACCTTGGAAGAAAGACGTGGTGATCTACTTCCGAAAAATCGGCCATTAAAAACCTTACAAAGCACAGTTCTATTCTGATACACACGGAGTTGCCACGAGTCGGAGTCGATTTTAAGGCAACTGTGAGTCGGAGTCAACTCGACGGCAACGGGTTTTGAATGGTTGGTTTAGACCGGAAGGAGGCAGGGAGCCAAGGAGCTGGCTTGCTTTGCTCCAAGGATGGCCAGACCCCCACCCTCACCCTCCATCCTCAGGACAAGGCCCCCTCCCACTCTTCCTGGAAGATGGCTTCTTATCTCCTAGCTGACCCTATTACCAGGGGCTCCTGGCCACATGGTCCCTGCCCACTCCTGGGGGGTGGCATGCTCTTCCCTGAGCCAGTGTCCAGCCCTGGCCGGAAGCCTCCCTCTCCTCCCTGAACCCAGTGTCCAGCCCTGGCCGGAAGCCTCCCTCTCCTCCCTGAACCCAGTGTTCAGCTTTGCCCGGAAGCCTCCCTTGCCACTGCAGAGGAGGTGGGAAGAAGCATGTGGCCTTGTGCCCAGCTTATCAAGTCCTCTGCCCCCAAGCCCCAGTGGGCTTGGGTGCTGGGGCTGAAAGTGTATGTGTGAATGTGGGGGTGTTGACCTTGGTCCCTGGTCTTGCCCAGCCTGGAGAGATAAGCAGCTTTAGATTTGGGCTACAGCGTGCTGCCTCCTGGAGCCTACACAGCTGGTGGAGCCCTGGGGACAAGCCAGAGCCCACAGGTCTGTGGCCCTCTCTTTATTGCTGCCCCCACCCAGAGGCTCAGACCCACAGTCCTTGAGGCCAGTGGGAAGGGAGGGCCTTTCTCAAGAGCTGGGTCCCAGAACATACTTCACCTGCTCCTGCTCAGATCACCTCTAGCCAGCCCCATCCCCTGGGCTCAGGGGGACAGACTGAACCCATCTTCTGGTCATGCACAGGCTGCCCAGCATACGGGAGGGCCTCAGCATCGTCCTCAGCTTCCTGTGGGCCATTGGCACTCAGTCTCGTCTTCCTCCCTGCCTCTTCCTAGCCGGCGGCCCAGTCTGTTTGTCCTGCCTCAGCCTCGCTGACGATTCCCAGCGGTGCCCTGGGCCCCCGTTCCCTGCTTTCCTCCTCTGTTTCTTTCAGGAGCCCCAGAGCTTCCCTTCCCTCAGAGCTTGGCCCTCCTCTACCTCAGGGTCTCTCACAAGTTCCTGCTGCCTCAGCCCCCTCTGTCCCCACAGTGCCCTCTCTCTGGGCTTCATTTCCTGGTCCTCATCACACAGTGCCCACCTCTCATGGCTGCCTCAGCCCCTCCCCCATACCTGCCCAGCTCCCTGCCACCTCTGTCGTCCCACGTGCTTGGCGCTGGAGCTTGTTCTGTTCCAGAACCAGTGCCCACTCTCCCAAACACACCAGCCTCTGGGCTCAGACTTCCGGGTACTTGGTGATTCACCTCCTTACCCAGGTGACTTGCAGTACCAACCTCTTCTCTTGTGGACCCACACCTGGAGGCCCAGAGATAATGACGCATTCAGAATTCTGGGCCCAAACCATCGGCCCCACCCCCTCTGGGGTGCCTTGAGAGGGTCTTGACCAAGCCCCTCCCAGGGGCTGCCTCTCACCCACACCTACTGCCACTGGCTGACTGCCCCAGGTCTGCCTACCAGTACCAGAAACTTCCTTCTCTGCAGGGGCAAGAAGATGGTCTATTCCCCATGGCTGGGAGCAGGAGGGTCTGCTGGGAGGTTGAGTTCTTGGTGGTGCCATTCACAAAACAGAGGCTTCTCTTCCCACATGATACACTGGGAGGAGGGAACAAGGGTTCCAATTGGATGCAGGGGTGAACCTCCCCATCTTGGTGCCAGACTGGAGTAGCCCTAACAACCTGTCCTTCCTGGTCCTACTCAGCCCAGAGACCTCTACTCACTCATTCAGACATTTGTACCTGGTTGCAAGCATTTGGGAGAGTGGGCACCAGTTCTGGAACAGAATAAGCTCCTAGCACCAAGCACATGGGACAACAGAGAGGTGACAGGGAGTTGGACAGAGGTGGCGGAGGAGCTGAGGCAGCCATGAGGGTGGACATGGTGTGACGAGGACCAGAGATGTAAGCCCAGGTGAAAACCTGTGGGCACCTGAATGTCAGACGCTGTGGCTCTGGGCCATGTCGTGAGAGCCTGCTGTGTGCTGGGCATGTCAAAGGGTGACCTGCTGTCCTTGGAAGGGCCCAGCACGGTGGGCCATTTGTGGACCGAGGGTCAAAAAAGGACAGATGCAGGACTCAAACCCCTGGATCAACGCAACCCCCAAAACAGTGGCCACGTGAGGTCTGGCCTCCCTACCAAGGGCAGGCAGAGAGGACAGACTGCTCTGAGGGCTGCTGGGAGGTAGGAGGTGGCTCGAGCCAGAGGTGGCGACAGGGCAGGCTTTTGGACTAACTGCTCTCCTCCCACAGGACAAAGACAATTCTGGTGCCACAGTCCTGCATCTGTCTGCCCGCTTCGGCCACCCCGAGGTGGTAAACTGGCTGCTGCATCATGGTGGTGGGGACCCCACTGTGGCCACAGACACAGGCGCCCTGCCTGTCCACTATGCCGCCGCCAAAGGAGACTTCCCCTCCCTGAGGCTGCTCATCAGACACCATCCTGAGTAAGGACACCCCTTGGGGCCTCTGGATGGGGTGGGCCAGGGCTCAGGGGAGGCCAGAGCTGGCCACATCATCCAGCATTCCAGGGAATGGCCACCCCTGTGGCCTTCCCAGTGGCCAGGGAGCCAGGCCGGAGGCAGCACCTACCCCAGCTGAGATTTCTCTCCTCCTTGGCAGCCCTCCAGGGGCTCCGCATGGTCACTTGCCCCAGAGCTATGCAGGCAGACACTACCCTGGGGCTCTCTTGCACTCAGGCCTGTGCCAATCTGCAAGGCTGTTGTAAATGGAACAGGGGTGCGACGGCACCTTCTAGGCCTCCACAAGTAGGAAGAGGAAGAGCCACGTCAGTTATCAAACTCCTTATCCAGCACGTCCCTGCCTTGCCCAGACTCCCACCCCTTCTCCTAGCCCCAGAGGTCCCTGGCTAGGCCATCAAGAGAGCAGCTGGACATTTCTTGTGGCCCTTTCAGCCCATCCTCACTACTCAGGTGGGGATGGGGTGCCCAGACCTTCCAGAACCCTTGGCCTGAGTGGCTGGTCTGAGAAAGTAGCTGGTCAGAGGGCTGGGAGCTCCCCAGGGCAGGCTGGGGGCATACAGAGAATGAGGCTCACATGGGGATGCTGGGAGACAGCTACCCAGACCCATCTGAGGGAGTGGGGACCTGTGGCCACAGGGGCCTGAGCTGGGATGGGGGCTCTGACC